CACACACACAGAGACTCCATGTCACATGCACACACACACACACACACGATGGACTCCAGCCTGGGCAACAGAGACTCCATGTCACACGCACACACACACACACACAGACTCCATGTCACACACTCGCACACACACACAAAACAAACCGGCAGAGATTCACTCTCACGGCTCTGGAGACCAGAAGCCTGAACTCAGCCGGGGCTGGTTGCTCCTGGAGGCCCTGAGGGCGCCTCGGTCCAGCCCCGCCCGGCACCTGCTGGGCTGCGGACACTCGGCTCCCATCTCTGCCTCCTCCTGTGCGTCCTCGTCCTGTGGGGACAGCGTTGTGGGACGTAGGGCCCGCCCTAGTCACCCTGCACGCACCTGTCCCGGGACCCTTCACCTGACCTGTGCATCTCCAAAGCCCTTTTCCCAGTGAGCGCACACTCGCGGGCGCTCAGGGCTCGGACCCGGCATGTCTACGTGGGGTCTCCCTGCAGCCCACGGCAGGAAGCGTGGACGCAGAACCCAGGGGTTTTGAGTCGGTGTCCGTGCTTAGGCAGCAGGTGAGGCTCCGTCTCAAAATTAATAATAAGAGCAGCCAGCAGAGGTTCCTCTGACGCCTCCGGAGGCCAGAGATGGTTCTGGAATTCTGAAGCCGCCCCTGTGGCTGGAGTCCCGGAATTCTCTGGTCCGGACACTCGGCCGTGCGGCCGCCCCTGGGGCTCCCCGGCAGGACCTGGGAACGCAGCTGTCCGGGCGCTGACGCCGTGGTCTCCGCCGGCAGGTGCGGACGAAGGACGTGCTGTTCGAGAGCATCAGCCACCTGATTGACCACCACCTGCAGAACGGGCAGCCCATCGTGGCGGCGGAAAGCGAGCTGCACCTGCGCGGCGTGGTCTCCCGGGAGCCCTGAGCCACGTGCGTGGCCGCCACGGCCGCCGGCCTCGCCCTATTTTCCAGGTACTTTTCTAGCTTGAAAATTGAGACACGTTTCCCTCGTGTAGAGCACGACACGGGGGCCTTCGGCATCCGAGCCGTGCAGCTGCCACCTGTCGCATTCCGGAACATTCTGTCAGCCCCGAAAGAAGCCCCATCCCCACCAGCCGTCACTCCCCGGGCCTCCCCGGCCTCAGCACCCACACACCCGCCCCCCGTCTCTGTGGGTCACCCTGTCCTGGACATTTCAGGGAAATGGGATGGCGGGGCCTCCCGTGTCTGTGTCTCTTGCCGAGTGTGACGTCCTCAAGGTGAGTCGCTCAGTGGCTGGGTCTGAGCCTGGCCCCTTTTCACGGCTGGAGAACGTCACACTGTGTGGTGGGACCTTCTGCTGGTCAGTTTAGCCGCTGAGGGGGGCAATGGGGCTGCTTCCACTTTCTGGCCACCGTGCGCCTCCGTGGGCAAGTTTTGTTTACCCCTCAGTTAAAGCGGTTCTTCTGCCTCACCCTCCTGAGTAGCTGGGAATACGGGCACGCGCCACCACGCCCGGCTCTTTCGTATTTTTAGTAGAGACAGGGTTTCTCCATGTTGGCCAGGCTGGTCTCGAACCCCTGACCTCATGATCCACCTGCCTCGGCCTCCCAAAGTGCTGGGATCATAGGCGTGAGCCACCGCACCCGGCCACGTCACCTGATCTTTATGGAACCCTGCTTCGTGCTGGGTGTCCACGCCCCCTTCCCAGAGGATTGGTGGACCCCACTGGAGAGTATGGGGCGGGGTTGGGGGGGGTACCAGGCAGTTAGGGGCTGGCATGTGAGCCCAGGCAGGGAGAAGACCACGCCTCAGGCTGGGCGGGGGAGCCTCGGGCCTCCACTTTTGGGGCTGGGGGTGCCCATGGTAGGGTGTGGACAGGGGAGGGCCAGGCAAGTCTGCGTGATTTCGGGGTCTCTCCTGGGGTGTGGTGGGGGAGGAGAGGCTGCAGCTGTAGGGCTGAGGGCATGGCGGAGGGAGGGCGCAAGGGGAGGGGGCTGTGGAATTTCCCCAAGGGCTGCGCTTCTGGGCCAGGTCGGGCTGCTCTCGTCCCCATGACAACAGCCTCCTTCCTGCCTCCTCTCCTGGGCAGCACCTCCCCCACGCAGCCGGCCTCCCCCCGGCCCCCAGCCAGGCCTCGGGCTGCAGGAAGGGGGGTTCCGGTCCTGGGAGGGGCTTTGGGGACCCAGAGGGGGCCGAGGCAGAACCGAGGTCTGCGGCCGCCGTCTGGGCCCTGACCTCGCCTTCTCTTTCTGCCCGCAGGTTCCCGTCCTCAGCCCGGCTCCTGCCTTCGTGGCCTTGGGGCTCTCAGCCCTCCCCTGGATCCTGGTCAGGCGGGAGCCTCTCCTTCCTCCGCATGAGCCTCAGGCATGGTCCTTCCTCCAGCCGCCCAGGGCTGGGCAGAGCTTCCTGACGGCCGGGGCCCCTGCCCACCCCTCCTCCGCCTGGAGTGAGGGTGTTCATACCAAAGACGAACCGTTTCTCGCCTTTAAAGAAAACGTCTCCATAAGCGGCTGCTGCCTGAGGCCCGTGGGGGCCCCTCTGGCCAGGCGGGTTTGGTCTAGCGCCCGGAGCGAGGGGCTCCCAGGACCCCGTGGAGGAGGCGGGCTCTGGGCCTGGCTGGGCTCACTTTTCCCGCCCAAGGAACTGGGCGCATAGTTGTCTTTGAGGGGGGACAATTAAGGTGCTTTGGGGTTCTCAGGCTGGGACATGGGCTGATGTTGAAGTGGGGGCAGCCTTGGGGTCACCTGGGATGATGGGCGCAGCCAGGCCCCTCCAAGACAGTGGATACGGGGCGGCCGTGAGGCCCCCATCCCCCCTGGGAGCAGGAGGAAGGACGTGGCTGCCGGCCTGGGATGTGCCCACCAGTTTCCCCCACTGCCCTCCCAGCGGTGGACCGAGACTGGACATTTGCAACCTGGGAGTGACCACAGGACAGGAGCCCACCTGCCCCCCTGGGGGCCCTGTGGGGCTGAGGCTGGGAGGCTCCTCCCAGGTGCAGAGCTGGAGAGGCTCACAGGGACCACGTCTGGCTTCCCTGGGGGCCTGGACTTGGGGAGAAGGGAGGTGGCGCCATGCGTGTGCTCATGCCTGGCAGGTTGTGGGGTGGCCCCTCTGCCCAGCAGCCCCCACGTCTCTTTCGGTTACCTCTGTTTTATCCAGGATAAAACACACTTAAACTTCTCCATTAAACAGTTCTCCCACCTGTTTGGAGACACCGTTTTATCACCGGAAAGCCAAACCTCTCCCTCAACACAGCCCAATGCGCCGTCGGGCAAGAGCTTTGCTTTCTTCTCCACGATGCCCCCAGCGTGGCCCCAGACGGGGCCTGACCCTTCTGTCATCCCAGCGTCTGTTCTGTGTCTCAGGACACCCCCTTGATGCCCCTGCTCCTGACGCGCGGCTTCATGCTCAAGCACGCCAGCCTCCGTGTCTCAGACCTGCCATGTTATATCAGCCTCTGCCTCCAAGAGCCCCCCCAGCTTCTCCCACAAACACAGCATCTTCCCAGGGGAGAGGTTCCCAACCTCGCCACGTCCCTGCTGGCCCACGTCTCTCAAGGGCCCAGGATCTCTGGGGAGGGGAGGATCTCTGACTGCTTTCTCTGCAGTTGGCAGGCCCTCCCTGCTGCTCTGGGGGACAGGTCTAGTAAGGGTGTGTGTGGGGAGTAAAAGCCACTCTGGTTTGTCCTTAACCGGGACTGGAGCCTTCAAAAGGCAAACCCAGAAGGGACTTGGATGACGTGTCTTATTTCAGAGCTGTGGAGAAAGAGCTGCGCATCCATCCTCCATCTACATGTCAGTAACCCACCTGTTCATCCATCCATCCATCACACATCATCCATCTATCAATCAATCAGTACCCCACCATCCATCCCCCATCTACACATCCACCAGTAACCCACTCATCCATCCATCTCTGCATCCACACACCCATCAGTCATCCATCCATCCACCCATTCATCCCCCATCTACACACCCATCAGTCATCCATCCATCCACCCATCCATCCGTCACCCATCCATCCCCCATCTACACATCCATCAGTAACCCAGCCAATCATCCATCTGCACATCCACCAGTAACCCACTCATCCATTCATCCTCCCCCCATTTACACGTCCATCAAGTCATCCACCTACCCATCCCCCATCTACACATCCACCAGGAACCCCCTCATCCATCCACCCATTCATCCCCCACCTGTACACCCATCCGTCATCCATCCATTGATCGATTCACCCACCTGGTCCCCCATCCATCTGCCTGACCCTCCATCATTATTCTACCCATCCGTTTTCCATCTGTCCGTCCCTCCACCCATCTGTCAGTCATCCACCTGCCTCTTGATTGTTCATTCCATTCGCTGCTCCCTCCCCCCCACCATCTTTCAGCATGCTTGCGTTGAGTGCCTGTCACCTGCCAGGAGCCCCGGTGGGCAAACAGGATGCAGTAGTGACAAAGACAGGTCTGCCCTCATGGAGTTAATGGCCAAGGGACGTTCATCAGAGATCACCACTCAGCTGTGGAGTGAGTGAGGTGGCTCACGCCTGTCATCCCAGCACTTTGGGAGGCTGAGGCGGGCGGATCACCTGAGGTCAGGAGTTGGAGACCAGCCTGGCCAACATGTCAAAATCCCATGTCTGCTAGAAATACAAAAGTTAGCCGGGCGTGGTGGTGCGTGCCTGTGATCCCAGCTACTCGGGAGGCTGAGGCAGGAGAATCGCTTGAAACCGGAGGCAGAGATTGTAGTGAGCTGAGATCGGGCCACTGCACTCCAGCTTGGGGGACAGAGCCAGAGACTCTGTCTCAAAAACAAAACAAAAACCCCAAAAACAGCTGTGGAAAGGAGTGAGCCCCGGAGCTTACAGACCCCAGGAAATCCAGGGATAACTTTGTGGGAACAACACAGGGACTGTGATTGGCGGGTGAGCCCCAGGTGAAGAAAGTAGAGTTTTGAGCCGAGCAGCCAGCATGTGCAAAGGCCCTGTGGCGTGTTCAGTCAGCACATCCAGGGAGCAGAAGCGTGTCCTGTGTGGCGGAGGTGAGGACACAGCTTGGGGGAGGCCTGGGGCCAGGAACAGCTGCCAGGGGTCTTTGAAGCGCAGGGGCGTGCGCGTGGATTCCCCGTGAGATTTCCCAGTGGGAAGTTGGGAACAGAACAGGAATGGGGGAGGGCAGGGAGGAGGCACTGGGCCAGGGAAGTGCCCGGAGTAAGGACCGGCAGAATCCCAGGATGTGTGGGCCAGAGAGGGTCTACGTGCACTTCATTGATTCCTGCATGCATGCGTTCATTCATTCATAGCCTTGGGTCCCCCAGGCCCAGGTTGCCCGTCGATGCCCCACCTCCGTCTGTCCTCTTCCAAGTCCCCATGTAAATAGGACTGGTGCCTGCTGGGACATGTACCAAGAACAGCATGACCTCGGGGTGCTGAGACGCTCCCGCTTTACGGCTGAGGTGACCTCAGAGACCATCCCACGGGGAGGGGGGACGCTCGTTTTGGAGGGCCCCCGCCTCCCAGTCCTGTTCTCTGCGCCGGAAGAGCCTGGGTGCCAGGACGCCTGGCTCCTGCCCCTTCCTACCTTTGTACTTCCGATGACTGGAGTCATTAACTCGATAATCGGATGATCCTGGGAGCCTGAGCCTGGAGTGGGAGGCAGGAGAACCTGGGTCAGAGTCAACCTCTGGCGTGCTGCGCAGCTTTCGGGAGTCGCCTCTCTCCCCGAATCAAATACACGGGGAGACGGGAGGATCTCCTGTGGGGGGCCAGGACGCCCAGAGTATCAGCTAGTGCCTTGGGGGGCCAGGACACCTGGGGTACCAGCTAGTGCTGGGGGGGGCCAGGATGCCCCGGGTAACATCTAGCGCTGTGGGGGGCCAGGACCTCCAGATACCGGCTAGTGCCGTGGGGGGCCAGGATGCCCAGAGTATCAGCTAGTGCCTTGGAGGGGCCAGGACACCCGGGGTACCAGCTAGTGCCGTGGGGGGTCAGGACGCCCGGGGTACCAGCTAGTGCCGTGGGGGGGCCAGGACGCCCGGGGTATCAGGTAGCGCCAGGGGGGCCAGGACCTCCGGATACCAGCTGGTATTGACTGAGCCCGCCCTGTGGCAGGCTTGGAGGTCAGCTGGTTCTGTGCGCTCCCTGAGGAATCAGGCTACTCCCTCGTGCCTCAGTGTCCCTATCTGGAAACACGATGGCCCTCCTGGGCCTTCCCACTGGGCCAACCCGTGATACACGGACCAGCCGGGTCCCTCCTGGGAGCTCACAGACAGTCCTGCTCCTGGGATTGTTTTATTACTACACCTCGGTACCTTTTCCTGAGGCCCCCCAGGGTCAGTCATCAAGCTGCCCAGGTGCCCAGGGGCCTCAGCACTGGAGCTCACTACAGGCACTTCATTCTTAAACCACCTTCCGGAGGCCCCTGTGGGGCAGCCTTGGATTCGGACACTTGGGGGAAGCCCAGTGTCCCCCCGGGTGCCTCCCCCGGGGCGGTGGAGGCCAAAGCCACCCAGCACGAGGTGCCAGGACTCGAAGCCGAGATGGGCTGGTCGATGCCACCTGGGCCGCCGCCTCCAGCCTGAGCCGGGACCCACAGGCCTCTGGTCTCCGATTCCTGGAGGGCCGTGGTGGGGCTGCTGCAGAGGGAGACAGAAGGTTCTGCTGACCACGAGGAGGTCCTGTTTACCTACCGAGGGGGCAGCGCCAATCAGCCAGAAGGCCCGGCCTCCCTGCCACTGCCCAGCCCGGGGCGGGTCTGTGTCAGTGCACAGGGCAGGTGTGGGGACCCATCCCCGGCACCTTTCGGGCCTGTTTCCCCAGCCCCCAAGCGTGACAGGGCCTGGGGATCGGGTGGGGCTTCTGTCTGAGGCAGGTGTGGTGGGGTCAGGGCTCCGCAGTGCTCTCCGGCTGAGTCCTCTTCCTCACCTGTGAAGTGTCTGAGGAAGAATGGTGGAGGCAGTCACGAAGGCTGCTCTAGAACGTCGCACGTGGTCATCTGTTGAACCCCCCCCTGGAATGCCATGATGCCCTGGGCTGCCGGAGAAGAGGGTCCTGAGGCCTGCCCAGCGTCATACCTCGGGAAGTGTGGGCACCAGGATGCAGGCCCCAACTGAGCAGCCCTGGATTTGTGTCCTTGGCACAGAAACAGGCCTGGTGTCCACCCAGTGCCTTATCCCCCAACCCAGCTGGGAGGAGAGGCTCTGCCCCCACCTGGGCTGCCCGGGGTGCTGGGGAGCGAACCCCAATACCTGGGGCTGGCCCGCCGTCAGGAGACCTGTCACTGCCCCTTCTTTGGACCCGAGCTGTCCCCTTCCCTCCCTGGGCCCTGGTCTCCCTGTCTGCAATGCAGGAGGGTGTTTCTGAGGCCCCCGAGGCCCCTCCCGGCCCGTCCGGCCTGCTGACGGCATTGTTCCTGTGGTGATGCTGTTCCCCCATTTGTTTGGCAAATGTTTCTCGGAGACGTGGCTGGCCTGGGCCCTGGGGAGACTACAGGGATGAGACCTCCAGGACCCTCCTCCCGACCCGGGGCCCAGCAGGGGCTGTGGACGGCAGCCAAGGGTGTTCTTCATGGTGGCAGAGCTGGGGCTTGGGGGCCCTGCCAGGCTGTGGTGGGCAGTGGTGGTGAAGGGGAGAATTCCTCTGTGTCCGCCTCCCTGTCAGACTTCGGGGCTGCATCACAGTTGCTCCAGCACAAAGTGGGGGTTCTTCAGTGTTTGCTGGGTGAACAAGGCTGAGATGGCCTCTCGTAGGGGGTCACAGCTCTTCCGGGCCTCACTTTCCCCTCTGGACGGCATGACCCTAACCCCTCACTGCAAGGGTGCGTGGAGAGCAGGGAGGCCTCAGCCCAGCTCCCTCGCCCTCCCGGACCCTTCTTCTGCCACTGTGGCAGCAGCCGCTCCTCCAGCTTGAGCCACATCGAGACGTGGGGACATTCCCAGAACTCGGAGGCTCCTGGTCAATCGATAATTTAATCAAGCACCAGGCTTCCACCGGCTCCGGGTTGGTCCTGGCCATATGTTATCTTGCTAGCTCTGTGCATGCAGAGGCTGGGAGCTGCTCAGCTCGGCTCCAGAAGAGGAAATTGAGGCGGGGAGGGAGAGAAGGAAGCAGTGAAGACTGGAGCTGTTAGACCACAGGAGCAGCTGGCAGGAGGTGGGTCGGGGCCTCAGGAAGAGGGACCCCGTGGTCTCAGGAACGGAAGGGGAAGCCTGGGCTTGGACTGGTCTTACACCCTTTGGATTTCTCCATGGTGAATCACGCGGTGAACCTTTTCCCTTTGCCCTGACCCTCACACTTTCTTTCCTGGGGGATTCCTGCTCCCAGAGTTACCACCCGACGGGTCAGTGCCGCACCTGTGTGCTGTGGGCCATCCTGCCCCCAGAATCACCAGGGCTGGGCCACCTCCCGCCGTCCCAGCTGTGTCCCCAGAGGCCAGGGCACTGTCCAGCATCTAGCAGGTGCTCGGGAAACGTTTGTATGTGAGATGGAGCAGCCCCCTTTCAGTCTTCCTGGGCGGCTGCTGAGAGGTCACCCCTTTAGTCAGACCAGCTCTCCTAGCTGTTCCGTCCTTGTTTCTGGAAGGAACCCCCACCTTCCTCATCTACAGGCTGGGGATTGCAGTAGGCCCTGCGTGCCGGGCCGCGCGAGAGTCAGGGACCCACCAGGACGCTGGGAGGCTGGCAGGGAGGAAGGCGGCAGCACCAACGCAGCCGCGTTTGTTGCTGCTGCTGTTTAATTCGTCGTCGTTAGTCGGGAAAGCTCCTCGCCGGGGAAGTGGCCGGCAGCGAGCGGGGTTCTGGGGTTCTGGGGCTCGGGCTGAGCGCCCGGGGTGGCCAGCGGCGACCGCGACCACCTGCTGGCTTCCCAGCCGCCCCAGTCAGCCCCGGATCCCGGCCAGGCTCCTCCTCCCTGCCACCGGCCTCCGGCGACTGCGGGGAGACGGCGCCACCCCCGTCCCTGGGGCGGAGCGGGCGGGGGCGCGGGCGGCCGTACTAGGAGGAATACGGCGGCGGCGGCGGCGGGGCTGGGCGGTTTCCCGCCGCGGGTGAATGAGTCCGACTGCGCGGCCGCCGCCCGCATCCCCGCTCCGGCCGCGTCCCCCGCGCCAGCCCCGGGAGCAACGCGCCGAGACCCCCGCGCGCGTCCAGCCTCGGGCCGGCACCCCGGGCAGGTGAGTGCGGGGGGGCCCCTCCCGTTCCGCGGGGGCTGCCAGGACCCCAACCCCACCCCGAGCTGCGTCGGGGGCGGGCCGGGGGGACCCCGGGGGGTCGGCTCGCTGCGCTGTGGGCCCCAGACCTCCCGCCCCCCCCCCCCGCCCCCGCCTGGCGCTGCGGTCCGGGGAGAAGCCACAGGTGGGTGGGAGCGGGGGGCGGAGCTGGGACACCCCGGGGGCCACCGCAGCCGCGTCTTCCCCGGGGACTGAGCGCGGAACGCTGTAGAATGGGCGCTGAAACGCTCAGAGCCGCGTCGGGCGGGAGCGCGGCCTCTCCCCCCTCCCCGGAGCTCCCCGGGGAGTCAGAGCCCCCCGCCCTGGGCCAAGGACTGGAAGTTTCGCGGGATCTCTCCGGAAAAGGGAAGGCGAACCCGCCTCGCCCCACCCCTGCCCTGGGCCGCAGCGCCCGGGGGACCCCGAGGACCCTGCGCCCCGCCGTCCGGCGCCGCCCCCCCGGAGCAGGTGCCCAGGCCCCGCCGCCGCCGCCCCGCTCCCCTGACCCCGGCCTCTCTCCGCAGGCGCCGCAGCCCCCGGTCCTTCCGCCCCCATGAGAAAAACCAACATGTGGTTCCTGGAGCGGCTCCGGGGGTCCGGGGAGAACGGCCGCGGCGTGGGGGGCGACGCCGGCGACAAGGCCGCCAAGGGGCCGCTGTACAGCAACGTGCTGACGCCCGACAAGATCCCCGACTTCTTCATCCCCCCCAAGCTGGCCGCGGGCCCCGCCGAGGCGGAGGGACAGGCCGCGCTGGGCGCGTCCGCGTCGGAGCAGAACCTGGCCCCGGCCTCGCCGCGCGCGGCCCCGCGCAGCCCCCGCCTGCCGGCCAAGCTGGCGGCCGAGAGCCGGAGCCTCCTGCGGGCCGCGACGCGCCACGTGATCCAGATCGAGAGCGCGGAGGACTGGCCCGAGGAGGCCCTCGCCGACCCCCCGGCCCGGGGCGCCCCGAACCCGCCCTCGGTGCCCAAGGCGCAGACGTCCTACGGCTTCGCCGCGCTGGCCGAGAGCCCGCACACGCGGCGCCGGGAGTCCCTGTTCCACAGCGAGCACGGGGCGCTGGCCCAGGTGGGCTCCCCGGGCGCCGCGCGCCGCCGGGCACCTGCCAAGGCCAACGGGGGCCCCGGGGAGGCCGGCGGGAGCCTCATGAGCCCGAGCCGCGGCCTCAGCGGCGGCGAGAGCGACACGGGGTCCTCGGCCGAGTCCTCTCCCTTCGGGTCCCCGCTGCTGTCGCGCTCCGTGTCGCTGCTCAGGGGCTTCGCCCAGGACGGCCAGGCCAAGGTGAGCCAGCTCCGCAAGTCGGTGGGCCGCCACGGCTCCCTGTCGGCGGACGACAGCACCCCGGACACCAGCCCCGGGAGCCGGCGCCGCCTGACCCGCCGGGCACCCCCGGAGCCCGGCCCCGAGTCGGGCCCGGCCGCGCGCGGCGAGCACACGGTCCCCCTGGGCCCCCGGGGCAGCGTGCGGCTGCTGGCCGAGTACCAGGCCGGCCAGGCCCGCCTGCGGGTGCGCCTGCTGGCCGCCGAGGGCCTGTACGACCGCCTGTGCGACGCGCGCGCCATCAACTGCTGCGTGGGGCTGAGCCTGGTGCCCGGGAAGCTGCAGAAGCAGCGCAGCACCATCGTCAAGCACAGCCGCCACCCCGTCTTCAACGAGGACTTCTTCTTCGACGGGCTGGGCCCGGCCAGCGTCCGCAAGCTGGCCCTGAGGATCAAGGTGGTGAACAAGGGCAGCAGCCTCAAGCGGGACACGCTGCTGGGGGAGAAGGAGCTGCCCCTGACCGCCCTGCTGCCCTTGCTGTAGAGGGGGGCGCGCTCGTGGCCCGCTCAGCTGGGGGGTGTGCGCCCAGGGGAGACCCGTCTCTCTCCTCCACGCCGGGCGGGGAGGGGCCCACACTCATGCGGGGCGGACGCGGGGCTTCCTGGCTCGCAGATGCGGAGCAGAGTGTTATTTTTCGTGAATTAATTTATTCTTTGGAGAAGGAGGAGGAGGAGGAGAGGGGCTGCGGGGGAAGAGGAAGGGCCGCTTCACAGGGCTGAGGGTCCCCCTTGGCCCGGCAACACCGCCTGGCCCCTTTCACGCAGAGTTCTAGAAGGAGGTTCTTGGGGGTCCAGGAACACGTGCGTGTGGCAGGGGCACGGCCATGGATAGAGAGGCCACAAGTCCTGGAGCCTGTGGTCCCCCCACCGCGCACGTGTACTCCTCCCCCACAGCCTGCCTCGGTCCGCTTCCCACCCCACCGCCCAGTTCCCACCCGGTTGTCCGTCCAGTTCCCACCCACCTTCCGTCCAGTTCCCACCACCTTCCGTCCAGTTCCCACCCCGCCGCTCAGTTCCCACCCGGTTGTCCGTCCAGTTCCCACCCCACCTTCCGTCCACTTCCCACCCGGCTGTCCAGTTCCCACCCTGCAGAGAGCAGGGCCTCTGGGCCACGCCAGGCTCAGACTGCCCGAGGCGCCCCCTCCCAGGGGTCAGGCTGGCTCCGGGAGACCCCAGCTTCCCAGGCTTCGGTGGCGAGCGGGTCGTGCGTGGGTGTGCGTGGGCGCCCTTGTGAGGGTGGCCGAGGAGGGAGTGGCTGCGGCCACAGTTGGAGCAGAGACATCTCGGCAGAGGCCGCCCGGTGGGGGAGACGGCTCTCCCGTCTGCTTTTCCTCCAACACCGTCTGCGCTTGCTTTTAGGGTGCCGGCCTGTCTGGCCACTTCTGCTGCCCATCCCTCTCGCTGAGGACTGCCACCCCGTCGCCCTTCTGTCCAGCCTCCTTGCAGCTGGGCGTGATGCACCGTGGCTGATGGCTGTGGCTCTGACGCCACGTGTGTAAATAGGCCGTGGCTGTGGTGGGTGGGTGGGAGCCCAGGCTGCAGCAGGGGGTACCCGGCTGTGGCCTTTTGTGCCTCCAGATGGCTGTAGGGCTTCCCTTGTGTGGTTATGTGGATCCTTGAATGATTTGGGGGAGGTGGTTCTGGCTCAGAATGATGCGGAAATGGTACAACCTGAAGCGGGGGCTAGGCCGGGCCGGTGCCTTCCCCTCTCCCAGCTGTTGCTGGGCATGGGGGGACCAGGGCACATCTGTGGGGTCCCCCATTACCCCCATTGCCACACAGCGTCCCTCTTGACCAGGGAAGGTAGAGGAGCCGCTTCCCAGGCCTGGAGGAGCAGCCAGGCCCCTGCTGATGTCCAGTGGGACACACCCCTGACCCCCCTCCAGAGGGAGAGTATGGGCTGGGTCCCTTCTGAGCCTGGAGTTGCAGGGACTCCGCTCTCTCTGGAAGCCGGGGCACCCAGGTCTGAGGCTCCTCAGGCCGGGGAGGCAGGGAGGGTGCCCTGTGGGGAGAGATGGAGCTTGCCCCCTTCTCTGACGCGTACCCCTCCGGGCCCCGTTCTCCCGGGAGTCCCCGTTTTGTACCCCCTGCACTGTTCCATATCTTAGTGTCTGAAGTTGACTGTGGATAAATCTTTAAGACAACCCCCCCAGTGTGTGTGTTTATAAACGCTGTTTATAGTGCAATAAAGGTGTTTCGGGAACGCGGGGGTGGAGGCTGGCTTGCCTGGCTGCTTAATAACGCGGGTGTTCTGCCGTGAACTCCAGGGAGGAGGTGCAGCGGATTCCAGATCAGTGAGGGCTCCCCACCGGCTTTCCGAGGTCTCTGGGGCAGCAGGCGGGGGCGAGAGCCCGGCCCCTGAGAAACCAGCACGCCCGACTCGCCCCTCAGGACGGGACCCCCCCACACACCCCTCAGGACGGGACCCCC